AACCACAGTACTTAGCAGCAGGTCACTTGGTGCTTCTTTGTTTGGTGTACTTATCCATGGGTCAGGTCAAATGAGGTCAACTGAGGTCAAATGACGTTTTTGCCAATAACTTGGCACATAATGACGCTAGAGCTTAGAAAATGGTATCATTGTGTTCCTGGTGATCAGCCGAATCGAATGATATGCGATATGATGCAATTTGGTTAACTTGAACTTAATTTATAAATTTAAGTTTACTTAAAATTTAAGAAAAACTTTAAGTACACTTAAGCAAGCTAAAAAGTATATCATTCGACGCGCCTTGACGTGCTGAGTTCACTGGTGCTTTTCTTTTTGCTTTATCTTAATTAGATCAAAAGTTATAAGCGAAAAACTTTTGACCTGTTTTTAGCGAAATTTTTACATTTATACCCCCCAAAGCCCCCCTAAATATTGACCTAGAGCAACCAAATTTGCACAGGGGCGAGAACTCCAGGGAGGGGGCCCACCTACCTACCAAATTTGGTGTTTCTAGGTGCCATAGGAGCCAATCGCGAGGGGGAGGGGTCGCAGCGACCCCCCCCCCCCCCCCTGCCAGGCCGTGTTATGAAAAATGCCCTGCCAGGGCGAGGGTTAAAAATACGCCGAAGCCAGCGAGAAGTCCGAAATCCAAGTATAGACGTAGAACAGTGGGCCATTTCAGAGGCAAAGGTCTCATTCTTTTATCGTCAGAATTCAAGCAGAGATGCATGGTTGCTCACTCTAATCATCCGTTCTGTATTTGCTCTGCCATGTATTTTTAGGTACAGAGACCAAATAGGCTCAACTCAGCAGCTCGGCTCAGTTCAGCTCGACTCAGCTGAAAGTTGGATCGCTGACCTGGAGGTTCAGGGCGACAGCACAGCTCGAAAGACCTCGGCACTTGCTATTTAGCATCTGAAGCGGTCAACTGCAGTTCTCAGATTACAGCTCACGGATACCAGATGAGGTCGGTGCGCGCGGTGTGTCATATTTCGCATTGGTGTTTTTGCTAAACGTTCGTCTCACACTCCCCACGGTCTCTCGATGGAACGTCAATGGTGAGGCTTACAACATGTCCCGTTTGACATTGATACTTGCAGTTAAACCAAACTTATTTTGTAGACTGTGATTGCTCTTTTATCCCTCCCTGTCGTCTCTGTCACGTGATGCAAAATGTTTATGTAGCTTCTGTTTGTCCTCCCGTCTTATCTGTTATTCTGTATGCAGTCATACACGTAGGTATACCAGCATTCAACAACACACAAAACTGCATCCACAAGGGTCGCAAGGTAAGGCTGCACCATCCATCGTGCGCCAGGACGGCCCGTCAGAGTCCTGCGCAGGGACGCTGCCTCCCCCACCGTACTTCCCTCAAGGTCAGACCTCAATGAGATAGATCCTGGCCGCGCACCGGACACTGCCATCAGTATGCGTGGCGTCCCTCCCCGTGAGCTGCACGCGGTGGACCGTTTGGTCAGGGCGGTGGAGGGATCGAGCACGGTCCTCTGCCGCCTGCAGCCGCCTGCTGCTGATGGATGGAGCCCCGCTGCTCAGAGGATCCTTCAGATACGGCCGGCAGGACTGCATAAACGGCCCGCCAGCAGGACTGCGCCATTGAAACTGAATGTGAATGGTGTGAGTGCACTAAACGTCCGCACTTACCTGTCCTCCCGGCAGAGCCGACAGCATCCGATATCCTTATTAACGAAGGGATAAATCTTCACTTGGTAGTGTCAACTGTCAACGGCCGTTCCTATTTCTTGGTAGGCTTATTTATCAAGGATAAGTATTCAACTGATACTGGAATATATCAGCGTTTTAATTAAATTTATGTTGAAACTGTTAAGAACCATTATTTCTTGAAGGCATATAAATAATGCTACCCCCATGCTGATGAATCGAGGGATCGTACAGAAGCATATGCGTTATGTAATGCCTAATGACTATTTATGAAGCTGCAAATCATTGTTAACAGACCAAACAAACTTGTAGAGGGCTGACAACATGAGGCATGGACAACACCTTCTTTCTTTCTTTCTGTCTTTCTTTCTTTCTTTCTTTCTTTCTTTCTTTCTTTCTTTCTTTCTTTCTTTCTTTCTTTCTTTCTTTATTCCTCTCTCTCTCTCTCTCTCTCTCTCTCTCTCTCTCTCTCTCTCCCTCTCTCTCTCATCTCTCATCTCTCTCATCAGTCTCAAAAGCGCATACCTACACGATGCCTGCACATGCCCATCAAAGAACACTTTGAACTACATCGCAACACCAATCAGTAAATACCGCCAGCAGGACTGCGCCATTGAAACTGAATGTGAATGGTGTGAGTGCACTAAACGTCCGCACTTACCTGTCCTCCCGGCAGAGCCGACAGCATCCGATATCCTTATTAACGAAGGGATAAATCTTCACTTGGTAGTGTCAACTGTCAACGGCCGTTCCTATTTCTTGGTAGGCTTATTTATCAAGGATAAGTATTCAACTGATACTGGAATATATCAGCGTTTTAATTAAATTTATGTTGAAACTGTTAAGAACCATTATTTCTTGAAGGCATATAAATAATGCTACCCCCATGCTGATGAATCGAGGGATCGTACAGAAGCATATGCGTTATGTAATGCCTAATGACTATTTATGAAGCTGCAAATCATTGTTAACAAACCAAACAAACTTGTAGAGGGCTGACAACATGAGGCATGGACAACACCTTCTTTCTTTCTTTCTTTCTTTCTTTCTTTCTTTCTTTCTTTCTTTCTTTCTTTCTTTCTTTCTTTCTTTCTTTCTTTCTTTCTTTATTCCTCTCTCTCTCTCTCTCTCTCTCTCTCTCTCTCTCTCTCTCTCTCTCTCTCTCTCTCTCTCTCTCTCTCTCTCATCTCTCATCTCTCTCATCAGTCTCAAAAGCGCATACCTACACGATGCCTGCACATGCCCATCAAAGAACACTTTGAACTACATCGCAACACCAATCAGTAAATAATCAAAACGTAAAACACACGGATCCGGCGATCAAATCCAACTCATCGTGTCATCGACCCGGCTGACCCGTTCTTCCACTTGGGCCCACTCAGCACAAACAGAAGACAATGGCCATATGCAAATATTCCCGACTGAGGCTGCATGCCACAGACAAAAGCGGAGGATAGCTGTCTATCGGAGTGCGGCTGCCTGCACGCGAGTTTGTTTTTGTTGTGCTCAGTGACACCACTTATTAGGGTCATGTCCCTTTGAGCACAACGGGTGTCATGTGGTTCGAAGTTTATCTCACAGTTGGTTCCGCCGGCATATGCATATTCACGGTTCTTATCCGTGGTCATATGTGCAGGTGGGCAGCTTCTGTCAAGCCTAACTCGTTTTTGTGCATGCATGAAAGACTATACCAGTGGCATGTCATTCACTTAATGTATAGGCATGTATCGTGAATTTTCCTTAGCAACAGGGATGAGAGGTGACTGCATACATATGTATTCCTACCGTTCGATGTAACTGACTCGCTTAGACTCAGTTTTGTTTAGCTATTGTAAGGCAACAATGAAAAAGTGGACTACAGGCACCTCGCCGGCACAGGCCATTTTGAGTCCTTTGAAGGCACAAAGGTACGACCCCCTCGCGTTTTGCCCCTGATGGAGCTAGAGCTTCGCGGAAAAAACGAGCGTGTTGCCCGTCACGAGAGCAAGCCAATGATACCCAATTTGAAGGTCCTATGTTATCGGTTGACCTTCCAGGTCAGGTCAATGACCCAAAAATCGGGAATATCGGGACCTGTTAGAAAGTCTTAAAGTGGGGCTGCTAAGAGGTTTTCCGGGGTGCTGATCACGAATATCGTGTAAGTTTTGATCACAGATGATGTCGTTAGGCGTTCAGACCAGGTCGGGTCAGGTCAGGTCAGGTCAACCGGTAGGGGTCGTGACGGGTATTCGTAGTACCTGTCATCCGCCTCTGACAGCTTCGTAACATGTTACGAAGGCACCAAAACTACTTCGTAAATGTTCAAATGGTTGCTAAATTCGAATTCAGCTCCAAAAACTACCCTAGAAACATGTAAAACTCGAAAAAGTGAACCGAGGTCACCAAAGGTCAATGAGCTGACCTGACCTTCTTCAGGTGACCTTTACAGTACACCCACCCTAATGCATGGGAGCAACCTCAAATCACATGTTTGAACGTTTGAAACCACGAAAAGCTTGCAAACGCGCGGCTAGTGCGAGTCGACATACGCCGAATCCCGATTCCGGCCAAACATGGTTTCGGAAAAGAGGTCACAGGTCAAAGGTCATTTGGGTCAGGGTCATGAAATTTTCAGGGTTGGTGTAAAATTGATCAGAATGAGTCTAATTTCACTGTTATTTTCTTAGCCATAGATTCAATGGCATTGACCTCCACCAGCTGATCTAGAAACTGGGTAGGCGGACCGGGCTCATAGATTAAATGCTTTAATGATTGACGTCAAGTGTATCTTAAAATGACAACTGCGTTTTCATATGATCTGAAAAGGAGCATGAATCATATGCAATATGCATATTAATTTAACAATGCTACATACATTGTCAACGTCCGGCCATCAATATAAACAACGCCTTATAAAGACGCAATTAAACAATTGAGAGAAACAGGCATTAGGCGGGAAAGGGTGAACATGACTTTAAAACGACGTTAGTGATCATCGAGAAGTTGTGAACCGTGAACCTTCTGCAAGTCTCGCAAAACACTTACACTTTGGTCACTAAGCATTGCAGCTAATTCCAAGCTTAGATGTATGGAATTTGTCACAATCGCTGGCGACTATTAATGTCAACGTCGAATGTTCAATAGTGACGGCGCCGTTGCACTGATGGAGGTCATATTTCATCCAGTGATCAGTACCATTTCCCAATTGTCGACTGCACTCTGACCGTAACGACACTAAACCGTCCGTGTCACAATGCTGGCACTGCGCATCTGCTTTCGACACAGTTAGGTGGCACTATCCCCCTAATGAGTCCTCGTGCCAGTGATGGGCTTCAGAATCTGATTGACGTGGGTGGATCAGCTCCGACGGCCGGCCGCCCAGCTTCCCTCGATATATCAGCTCATCTCCCGGCCGAGACGTCCGGAGTGCAGCAGCCGGGGTGGCGACCTGAGCTGGGCGCCGCTGACCTCACCGACCTGGCTACTTTCATTCCGACACGCGGCCGCCCCTGGCCACCGGGGCCCGAGATGACGGAACCTTGAGCAGCGTCCATATAGCGGCCGGCCGGTAGGGGTGACGGCCAGACGGTCACAGGGTCGTCCCGCGCGGCCGCACCGCACGGCTCTCACAGTGCAGGACAGTGGAGAGCAGCGGTCCGGTTCGCTGAGTGAAGTCGGAGGAGAACGGCGACAGAATGGGAGCGATCGTATCGCCGGCAGAACTCTCATCGGTGGCTACAGTAAGGACAGGAGAGGTGTAACGTGATTAACGGTCTATCATGAGATGAAATAGACAGGTCACACTGTATGGAGCTCAATGGAACTGTAGACTGAAAAGAGCAGGTCATTCCTTTTCTATCTCTGAGGGTAAAACGATCCCGGTGGTAACAGCATAATAGTCTCATTAGTCATAGCATTATCAGGAATATATTACATTGGCAATGATAATGGAATGGCTATTAGTGTTCATTTTTTAGACGGGTATAGTAAACGTTTATCTGCATGATATGATTAATTAATCAGTTGCAGGCCGGTGGGAAAGTTAGACGGTCTGCGAACAGTCTCCGCGAGCCAGGCTGCTTGCAAACTGAGTTTCTAAGCAGTTTGCAGCGCATATGCTCACAACCGATTTTGCAACTTACCGGCATTTTGAGTCAATAACTTGACTCTTGGTTTCTCCATCTTAGACCCAACTATGTGCGATCGCACAGACGAAATTCCGCTGAGGAGACAGTTAACGTTTTTACGTTCACCTCACCTCTAACCTGGCTTCAGTAGGTAAGCCAAGTATAACGTCAAGTGGCTAGCGACATTGCGACCATATAGGAAATAGCGTTTTATAGTTGAGACACTTTGGACTCCTTATATCCGTAAGAGTATAAGTATTTACGATTGATACCTTCGTCGTTGGTAGCCCCGATGACCGATTTTTTGCATGATTTTATTCAAACTAGTCTGCGTCAGATCTTCTGAGCATTGCAAGTCACTTGCTGCTTCTGCATAAATTGGAGATGAATCGTCGAGATTGGTAATCAGGAGGTGTTACAGATAATCAAAAGATAAAGTGGGAGATTTCTAGGTCTGCGAGCCTGCTGGTGAGAACTTGACGGAAACATATCGATCACTTCTTTGTGGCTTCGTATAAATTCTATATTTCGACACGTCGGAATGACATTCGACGGTGCGTTGATTGATAGTTTTGAAGAAATAATACACCTAACATCAAGTTAACCTTTCCATTAAATAGCAGGGGTCGAACAGACTCCCTCGTTTTTTTTTTTTAATACCTCGCGCAAAATGCGGATGATTGCAACGATACTTTCAGTATTCTCGAGTTTGTTGCATTTACATCTATCCTGAAAATTTCCCGATCCTAGCTCCAATGACCTTTGACCTGTGCTCTGTTTCTAGAGACCATGTCTGGCAGGAATCGCGATTCGGTGTATGCCAGCGCATATTATCCTTGCGTTTACAGTCTTTTCGTTGTTGTAGGTAAACGTACCAACATGTGAAATGATGTTTGTCCCATGCAATTGGTGGTGTCAAGGTTGAAGGTCAGGTCAATGTCATTGACCTTAGATGACCTCGGCTAGCTTTGTTGAGTTAGGTACAGGTACATACTTCTAGGGTATGTTTTGGAGCTTGATTTCGAATTTAGCACCCAGTTGAGCATTTGAGGTTGGTGCCTATGTAAAATGACGATAATAACTCAAGTTTATTGTACAAGACAAAGCTTTCGATACGATAAACTGTACAATAAACTTGAGTTATTATCGTCGTTTTACATCTGTCATGGATTCATTACAGTTGGTGCCTATATAACACGTTACAAAGCTTTCGGTGGTGGCTGACACCTCAGTACTATATATAACCGGTAGAACGCTTACTGGTTGAAGTGACCTGACCTGACCTGCCCCAAATGCATGAATACATCATGTTTGATCAAATCTAACACGAACTTCGTAATAATCGTAACAAAGACCCCAAAACCCCCATAAAAACCTCACTTAACGAAGATCTAGCAGGTCCAGATTCCCCCAACTGCTGAGTCGTTGACCTGACCTGGGAGGTCACAGGTCATTGTCAAGTAATTGACAAGTCATTGACAGTGACCCAGAACCTTTAACTTGGGTATCATCGTCTTCTTCTTGTCGGCTTCATCGGCTTCCTCGGGCAACACGTTTTTTCGCGAAGCTCTTAGAGGTCAAACGGCTGAGGAGGGTCCTACGGACCCTTCCTCCCTCACAACGTTAGACGCTGTACGAAGGTCAATACGGCAAAGAGTTATAAAGCCATAGCTTCAATTTGGTTTCATTCTTAAGTATCTATGCAATATGCATTTTGATAATTTAATTACATCGTAAATGCTGCAAATACCTTCACGATGCGCAACCACAAGCGAAAATTCCAGCGAGGATGACGTCACACGGACACCCTAAATTGGCTTTGCCTTGTAAATGGCCTCATCGTCACGGCGTGAGGCAGGCACGATTATGACTTCTCTTACCTAGCAATCAGTTTGTTTGCCTGGTTGAGCCTCTCGCTTTAGCAGCCTTTCTGGCCTTTCCATTCGTCACGTAAGCAGATGAACCTGAAGTAATAGGATTATAAACTGCGGCTCACCGTCCGTTTGGGGTTATATTTTGCAGAGCAGGATGAGTATAATGCTGGTGTATCATTTTAGTAGCTTATGTCATGCAACAGCGCCGCGTGTATACCTATACATCAATCAGAACGTTTTCCACACCTCGATTCAAATGTCAATCAAGGTATTACGATGACTCATCGCTCTTTGAGATTAGGAGCTAGGTACAGGAATCAAGAAAGTGAAAGGGTTTTAACGCGGTTGGACCAACACGAGTGCATTGACTGTCGGTCGGCATAAATCAGTTCAGGCAGTTCAGGCTAGGTAGGTAGTTTGGTGCAAGAGGCCTCTGAGGCCTCTTGCACCAAACTACCTACCTAGGTAAATTCAGATTTTACCTAAATTCTCTTGCACCAAACTACCTACCAAAAAACGCTACCGTGAAAATTTACCTAGAAATTCTACCGAGCGGCATGAGAACTTACCAATTGTTAAAGTCCGACCGACTGTTTTCCTCTTGCACCGAAAGCCGGAAAGTAGTACTCGCGGAGGAAATTTTGACGTTTTGAAGGTAAATTCGGGCCTCCAAAATAACTAGCAAAAGCTTAGGTAAAAGTGAAGTCATCGCAACAGTGAAGACATTGAAAAGGTGAGTGAGATGAACTATTGTGTAAATAATGATATCAAAATGTTTCTCTTGCTTGGTAATGTTTCATCTATGCATGACGTAGCCAATAACACATAATAAATATCAATATTCTTGAGAAAATTGCCATGCACTGCAGAAGGCTTGAGACTGAGTTTGATTGCTTTTAAATATGCATTTAAAGGTGATAATTGTGGCATTAGCCCACTAGGAAAATTGAGTACGTTAGGTATCATGTTTTGTTAAAAATGCTTGCTCTCTGTAATGAATTGCAATGAAAAGTCAAAAAAATCTTCCCTTAATGTGTATGTTCTTCATTTCAAATGCTGACAATAAATAGGTGTCTTTCTATCAAAATCAAAATGTCACAATGACAACACTCGCTGGGTTAAGGGATCATTTGCAAACTAATTGACATGGTCAAAACAATAAAATTCATGTGCTCTTCAAAATAAAGAGAGGCATCTAAATATGACAAAAGCCGAGGTACATCAAACAGTCAATGTTGAAAAAGAAAAATTACAATTTCTGCTCTATGCTCTCAAGAAAACTTTAATTTGAGATTACTGGATATTTCATCTTCCATTATAGTACATCTCAAGTGGCACGTCAAAGATATTCGGTAGCTGTTAGGTAGGTTAGTTTAGTATCATATGTGCATGGAGGCATGTGATAGATCAATTACATCAGTGGATCTAAAAACAAAAAGATAAGATCATACCAGAATTTGGATCCCACACAAAAATTATTTCTTGCGTCTATGATCTAATAAGATCTGACAACAAACCAAAGCATAAGCCAATAACAGCTGTTCGCACAAGGATTTAAGCTCTACCACCATTTGCAAAATGTGAAGCGGTTTTCCAGTGTGATTTGATGTCCTTAAGTATCACAAAACTATAAATTGACAGTAGTGGCGGAACACCTTCAGTTAGGGGGGGGGGGGGTACTGCTGACTTTTGGTCTCATTCTTTCCATGCAATGCCCATACGGCTAATGTTAAAATGCCAAAATCAAAGGGGGGCACGGTACCCAGGTGCCCTCCCCGCAGTGTTCTAAAATTGGATATTGGTTGGGTGTGCCGATGAAGAAAAAAATCCTAGGATGAGAAAAAAGAAAGTAAGTAACTGCAGTATTTTTGCAAAATGGTGTAATGCCAATTTTTATGCTAACTGATAAACCAGGATTTCATGTCAGGATCTTGACAGGGTGTGGAACAAAAGGATGTGGGTGCATCACTGTCAAGTGACATGTGAACTGGCTGTTGGGAATACATGCAACTCTTTTCAGAGATGTCATTCATATTTCGGTTGTCATATTATGTCATTCATATAAGTCGGTCATTCATATTTTAGGGATGAAAATATTCTCCCCATTAGGTGTGATTTGCCACCAAAAAGACTGAAAAATGAAACACCGCCTCCCCATTCCGCCGCCTATGTAAATTGCTATGTGTATTGTGTAATCACACAATATCCCTTAAACACCTAATGTAAATTGCCACAAATGATCCCATTATGATTATATGGCCACAAAAAGAGAGCACCGACAGAGGTAATGATGTATGATACCAATGAAACCATCAACAAATTATATAGGTAACTGGATACATGATTGTGATGCTATTGTAGGTGAGATCAAGATCAGTGGTATTAGAGTTTAAGAACATAATTCAGATCCCAGGTCAATTTCTCGGACCCATGTGAATGACTGGCTAGTAAAATTATATTTTCATCAACAGGGCTTTTTAAGAAAGTGGCCTTGTGGAGCACTATCAATAATTCAGTAGGTGGAACTATGGTCATGAGTACCCAAATATAGGAACGTTCCCATTTTTGGGAACGGAGTTCCCAAATATGGGAACGGGCGTTCCCATTTATGAGGACGGAAGGTAATTTTTCGGCCGTTCGCCCACTAAAACTCATTAGTGCATCACGTCTCAAAAAAGTGCACGCTAATTTAAGTATCTACGAAGTCTCTATAAAATTATCTTTAATCTGACCGTTGAACAAGGAAATTGACCGTCGAATGATATTTTTAATGATTTTTTGAAATGACGGAATGGTGAAAACATGGGTTACACTACATTTAACATGCAATTTTAAGGAAAATGAAGCGTTTTTTACATTTTGAGGTCAAGTATAATAATTTTCGCCTGGTTATGAAGTTTCATACTAGCGACACCAGATGCTGACATATGCAAGCGAACACGCGGACAGTCCCGAGGTAGTATTGTTGACATTTGGTGTCGAGGCGGACGACCGCGTAGAACGTGCGTGATTTTACCGAACTACTGTTGTAAACTCAGTTTAAGTGGTCGAAAATTATTCAGCGGTATTTCTCAGCCCGGAAAGACATATTTTATTCGGATGCTAGCTGTTTAGCGTTGTTTTATAAGGAGCGTCATGAGCGTGGTTTTTGTCTTCCGTGTTTCTAAGCATGATCGTTTTGGGGGAATTTCTCTTATATAGGTCGCTCTGTGTGGCTTATTTATAATTTCTATGCTGATTTCGATCATTCCTCGTGCCCATCCTACCAGGCCTTTTGCCACTTACACTCATTAAGAAAGGAAAAAACTAGATTTTCATTGGGACTAGGTGTTTTAAAGGTGTAACATATTCAGCGTTCCCATTTTTGGATACTTCCTTGTACTCGTCAACTATCGGTGATAAACAGACAGGTGCTTGACATGTCTCCACCCTCGGCACGGACGGTGGATATAGGTATGGAAGACCTTGTTGAACATCGCTGAGCGTTGTGAATTACGTAATCCTGCAGAGGGGGGCGTGCCCGCTGCGAGATCGACGGGAATAAAAGCGCAGAAGACCGGGCGAAACATGCGACGGTCTTGCCGGAAAGGTCATCTGATGATTGTTGCGTTAACAATAATTTGCGGCGTTGGACGTGATGCTTGTTAATGAAAAGAGCCCCTGAAAGGCTTCGGTGAAATCGTTCCCAATTTTGGGTACGCCGTTCCCATAATAAGGAACGCTCGCAGCGCCAGTGTACGAGAGCGTTCCCAAATTTGGGCTCGCGGCCCGGATGATGGACTGCTTTAGAAATAGGGGAACGATTTGAAACTACGATGGGCCTTACAATATCAAACTCTTTCCCAACAATATTGAGACAAATATCAGGCGGTTCACAATCGTTTTATATTTTTTGAACGTCATTTAACGGTTCTTTTTCTTGTTTTAACTAATGCCTACATGGCGTTCCCATATTTGGGTTTATCGTTCCCAAACATGGGAACGAAAATGCGTTCCCGAAAATGGGTACGCTTGACCATAGTTCCGCCTACTGAATTTTACAGAACTTATAAATCTGCACTTGTTACTGATGTGCTCTAGCTCGCACCAACTAAACTGGAATTCAGCACCACCCAATGCAGTCACTTATAAGAACGTATTTTATGAACATTTTTCTAGGTTGACGTGGTTTGAGTCGTGAAATACAGGTTTTTATTTAATTCTTAGCCTAGGGTGCAACAGAGGGATTTCATCTGATACTTGTTTTATTTCTTCTGGTTAAAAACAGTAATATGATTTACGAAGCTTTGCCCATGTTAAATTTTGCCTGGAATCACTTGTGCACTATGCATAGGTATCATTCCAGCATGAGCTGCCATTACCTCCCCTTCCCTCACCTTACCTTCTCACAGTCAATCACGAAAAATGGCTTTGGTGACCCTTATACACAGATGTGAATTTCCCAGCCATGGGGAAATTTTATTCAGTAACACATGCCCTTGAATCCACCAAATATACCGATTCTCAACTTCAATGGCCTCGACTCCCGCCACGTGGAAATGGACCCCAACAATTCGCGCGCTAACTGCGCCAGACCGCGTTATTTCCCCCCGTCATAGAGAAATGAACTCTTCCAAGCTATCGATGTAGCAAATAACTTGTATAAATAGGCATTTAAAATTTTGTGCTATTTTCAATGTTCATGTTGCCGGTAGAAGCCACATGTTTTTGAGTTGTTTATATTTTTTGTAACATGTATTTCAATTTTATTTGTTGACGAGCAACAACTTTGTTATCGATATTCATGCAGTGGCGTTGTCAGTCAGCCGTCAGGCAGGGGCCAAAGAAGCCAAAACTCTTTGTAATTTGTTAAGATAAACAGCTTCACTCTAAAACGTCCTCAGTCACTCGTTTTGTTATAAACATATCACCTTCTGCAACTAATTAATTTCTAATGGAAGGGGCTAGTCGCTAGTCCCGTCATGTTCGGCCACGGCCCGCATGAATCCGCCTATGACGGGCGATGGCCATTCCACTGCGGAGTGGGAAGTGGGAACAGCCGTTAGATGTCTCTCTACATTTCATATAGGTGTCGCGCTAGAAGGGCACTCGGGAGCCACAGCATTGTTGACCTCTATATTCGCGGACCAAAGCGTTAGCAGATAGATAAAGACGGTCTCGTACGCTCCCCTGTAGAGAGAGGGGGGGGGGAGACCCAAAACATATGTTGAAAATTAAAAAAAAAACTCCAAACCACTCCAAAAACCAGCCTGACAGATAAGATCCTTCACCTGGCGGCTGGTGCCTCCTGTGAATAACTGCTAGTGTCTGTATCTGACCACTAGGGCCCCTCTGACTCCTCGAGGTCAATGAAATAAGGTTTCGCTCGTCAGTTTTACCAGGGCTATCAGAGGCCGTTTGAATTTTGACGATCGGCCCAGTACCTAGTTTCGGAGATAAGGAGGGGGCTCTGTAGAGTCGCCCCCCCCCCCCGTCTCCAGCCACTCGCGTTATGGAAAATATCCCAGTCATGCGCGGGTTAAGGATTAAATTACCTACTTACATGTGTGATACGCAGTTTTGTCATAGTCATAGTTGCTGACGTACATGTGCCGTAAAAAAACATTGCGATGAGTAGGTGTACCCACTTGTGTCCGCAAGCCATGCTTTTAAATGGTGCCGACCACGGATCAAAACCATCTTATGCATGTTGCTTCCAGATAACGCCTATGCATTGCCGGATTGACTATGGCCGATGATGACAATTTTGAGCCTCGGGAGCGCCGCCAGCGGAGGCTCCGTCCGCGCATCAACATGGGAGCACTGCATCCAACGACATTCAGGTGACTATTTAATGTGCATGGGTGCCTGTATGCCGCATATCAAGAGTGTCATTGTATTCATTCGAAAGCTTTATATAACCTTAAATCCCGTTTCTCTTTAGGGAAAACTTCCGCCTCAGCGTCGAGGTCGCCACTGCACTGGAAGACCTCATTAGCGGGACGGTGGCGCACGACACGGGCTTAAATATGGCACTGACACCTCGCCAGCAGCTGCTCGTGTCGCTGCGGTTCTATGCTACCGGTGCGTATCTGCGCCTGGTGGGAGACGGCCACGGCGTCTCCGAGGCCACCGTGTGCCGCGCCATTCACCGCGTGACGGATGCGATAATCCACCGCTGCCCAGGGGCCATCACCTGGCCGAGCGACCCGGCGGCTCTCGGACGTCTCAAGGAGGACTTTCGACAGGTCGCCGGGCTGCCCGACATCGTGGGGTGCATCGACGGCACCCATGTACGCCTCACCGTCCCCCGAGAGCAGCGGGAGGCGTATATCAATAGGAAAGGCTTCCCGTCCCTCAATGTGATGGCTGTCGCTGCACCCGACCGCTCAATCGTTGCATTGAGCGTGCATTGTGGCGGTCGGGTGCACGACGCCCGAGTTTTAGCCACATCAGGGCTGCCCGACTATTTCCGGAATGGAAATCCTGTAATGGGCGCCATGATGCTGGGGGACAGTGGCTACGGCCTGTCACCCTGGCTCATGACGCCCATTGCAGACCCCACCACCGCCGAGGAGCGCGCATACAATAACGCTCATGCGCGCACTCGTGTGGTGGTGGAGAACGCCTTCGGCGTTTTGAAAATGCGGTTCGGGGCGCTCGAGTTCGGGCTGCGCCTGAAAAGTGTGGCCCGCTGCGTGGCGGTTATTCACACGTGCTTTATCCTACACAATATGTGTATCAAGGGCGGTGACTTCGGCGAATGGCTCGGACCACTGAGGCAAGATGAAGGAATGGTGCAGGAGCCAGCTGACGGGGCGGCAGAGCTGCCGGCGGCAGGCGCCGAGAGGCGGGCGGGTCTTGTGCGCCGCAATGACCTCGTGCGGCTGTTCGTACGCCATTAGCTGGTCGATACTCGGGCCAACCGCAGCTAGGCAACAGCAGAGTCGTCTACTCATGGCCAGTGGCCTATGGCTATGTACGTGTGCTTGAGTGTTTGTGTATTTGTATACGCTTGGGGATAGGGAGAGAAGAGGGAGCGAGGGGTATAGGGAGCGAGCGGGAGAGGGAGCGAAAGGGAGAGGGAGAGCAGCAAATAAAAACATGTTTGATGGTTGCTAGCCTTTTTGTAAGGTATTTGCGATTGACAGTGTGTTTATGTTTGACCTTTGAGTGAAACTTCTGTACCTACCATGTGTAATGGTTAGGTGTTCGTTTACAATTCATGTGACATACGATTCAGTCCAAGCCAGAACCATGAAGAGGAAGCTTGAAACTAATTACTTCTTAAAACGGTTTATTTCCTTCACAAGAAAGGAATAATATATTTGAGGCGTATTTTATTCACGTGACTGTCAAACCGAACTAATTAAGTTAACTTTTTCCTTAAAAACAAAACAAACAAATTTAGCCAGAGTCGCCACCAACTTCGACAGCTCCGGCTCCGCCTCCATCTCCGGGCAAAAGATGCCGGCTCCGGCGGCTCCGGATCCAGCTCTAGCTGCGGTTCCGCAGCCCTGCTCATAGCACATATGTCAGGGTTGGTGTGGGAGTTCCTCCCTGCAGCATGTCCTCCAGGATCTGTAAGCTGAGGTAGGTGCGGAGCAGGGTCACCTCCTCCGGCGTCCGTCTGAAGAGTGGCGTTGAGCGGATGAGCTGGAGGCGCGCTTCAATCTCATCGCGGTTTCTCTCCGATGCCTGGGACGCTCTAGTCGAGAGGGCCACGTCAGCTGACGAGGCCTCGCCGGTCGAGAGAGCCGTGGCGCTCTCCTGGGACGCTCCAGTCGAGAGGGCCACGTCAGCTGACGAGGCCTCGCCGGTCGAGAGAGCCGTGGCGCTCTCCTGGGACGCTCTAGTCGAGAGGGCTGCGTCAGCTGACGAGGCCTCGCCGGTCAAGAGAGCCGTGACGCTCTCCTGGGACGCTCCAGTCGGGAGGGCTGGGTCAGCTGACGAGGCCTTGCCGGTCGAGAGAGCCGTGGCGCTCCCCTGGGAGTGGGACGGAACAGTCGAAGGGGCTGCGTCAGCTGACGAGGCCTTGCCGGACGAGAGAGCCATGGCGCTTTCCTGGGGCGGACCAGTCGAAGGGGTTGTTGCGTTTGACGAGCCTGCCCTGGTCGAGGGGACGGTCGAGAGGACCGTGGTGGTTATCGTGGTCGCATTGGTCGCCGGAGACTGGGCGAGCGGCGTGCCCAGCCCTATCAACCGACCGTCTTCTGTAGTGAAGTAGATACTGGGTGCTGATGACGTTTCTCCCGCGGTTGTCAGTGCGGTTTCTGGGCCGGCTTCTTGCTGATTCGTCATCATCTGGCCCCAGGTAATCCCGCCAGGAACCTTAAACGACGTCAGGTAGTTGTCTCTGCCTGCCGGAGTGAAAAAAAAAAACAAAGGGATGTAAGAGACAGCGGATCTTGGCGCCCTTTTGCCTCACGCTTACGATGTTAATCCCTTGGGTCTGGGAAGGGGTGCCGTCCCAAAGGTTTTCTTTTTTTTGTCACGATAGCTTCTAACACACTAACACAGGAGAAAAAGAGCTTAGCTCGGACATGTCTGATCTTTTGTTTAAGCCCTCCAAAGACAATGCATAAAAAATATTTAACACTACTATGTACCGTTACATCTGAAGGCTGAAAGTAACATACCCACGCAATCCATGACGGTATCGTCGAGCTGGGTCCAGACCACTGCACCTGCCCCCGACTGGTTCTTTTGCTGGAATTTTTCTGCAACAGAGGTAAGTGTACGGCGTGAATATTTGCTCTGTGGGGGATATCAACCAAAACATGTGCGGCTCGGTTCGTCAAAAGCTGTTTCTAAAGAGCTAACGCCTTAAAAAAATTGAAGTCTGCGTATATGATATAAGGTGCGTTATTTGGTTAAATGCCATTGTGCTAGCACTGCAGTGTGCTTAATTGCGGTGTCGTAGTGGTGGTAACAATGGTTACTCACTTTTTGTCCGGTCTTGGGTGTTTTTTATAACACCCTGCAGCATGCTTTGCGTCGATGTTGCGTCATTTATCAGGCCAAGTTGAATGGCTCGCTCGCGTATGCGACCCCATTCTTGAAGCCTACGCGAGCGGGCATTGGGGCCCTTAAACTCTCCATAAAGTGTCTGGAAAAGGAGAACGTTGACACACTTTATTTCCATATCTGTTGGGTGGGTAATCAGGCAAAACTCAGCAGATACAGCCGGCATCATAAGTACCTACTCCGCCTCCCGAGATTCACCATTGCAAATGATTTGTCTACTTTGTAGGAGAACAAGCAAATTGTAATGCTCGAAGGATACTAAAAGTTAGCCTTAAACTGCACAACGTGGTCGATGAGTTTGTAATCCAAGAATCTATTGGCATCGGAATAACTTTTCCTCCAATGTTTCCTCTAATGACAACGCAATGTTGTCGCTCCCTCGGCCTAGAGAAGTTTAAAAATGACAAACTTTAATGGTAACATTTATCATAATAAAAATGTTACGGGCGCAGAAGCCTGCGAAGAAATGATATTCGAGGACTCTTTGAAAATGACGAACATTTTTTGACGAACATTTGTAAACCTTCCGATTTAGAACCTCCGAAGGTTCTAATTTCGTCTCTGATCCACCCGCGTCCATCTCTGACTCCCCCCTCCACATCTTGCGTCTTTCGTGTTTGTATTATATGAATTCCTGTGTGCTGCAATGTAACCGGACTCGTGATGACGATAATCTTTCAGCTCTATATTTGCGTATAGAGTTCAGACTACAATTTGCGTATCGATACTACAATTTGCGTATCGATGTCGGAAAATTGAGATTTGGAAAAGTAGCTTTTCCAAGTAAATAAGCATCCTGACTTGGGCATTGCAGCTGGCCTCAAAAGCTGTATTTTGATGATATTTCGACGACGCATAATTTAAGAATAGTAATTACGATTTGTGTGTAGGTATAATATGCATCCTTCACGGCAGAGAGTCGTGAAGGATGCACGGCTAAATCGTGTTCCCGGCTGTGGCGGGAAGCCGTCGCGCGTCGGCGCGCGGGCGCGGGCAGAGCGCGTGGAAGACAGAGGTGTCTTACATATTCATAACTAGCTATCTGTTTCTCGGACATTCATAGCCCATTTCGTCTCAAGACTCAAGGCCCTCTTCACCTTAGCAGGGGGGGGGGGGAAAAAGTGCCATCTTTTGCAGGGACCGAGCCCGTGTCGCGTTGACCACATTTAGCCATTTTGTCCCAGTTTTGCATTTCATTTTTAACGCGTTAAGTCTATCAAGCGAATTCAAATTTGCGAAAATCTATTCCATTTCCGGCCACATACTACGCACTATCCAGACGGACGAATGCACTATAAAAGGTATAGACGCATATGGTGATGGTGCCTACCAGAGCTGCGGTGTAAGTCGGAGTCGGAGTCGGGCGGAGTCGACAGTTCTGATCGGAGTCTGAGTCGGGATACGTTTGGAAAAACTGGAGCCGGAGTCACAAGAAATCCAGCGACTCCACAAACCTAGCAAGGCTTTGGAGTCGGCGTCTGTCTGAGTTGGAGTCGGTCGGAGTTGACAATGCCACCCGGAGTCGAAATCGGAGCTTTTAAAGCTGGAGTCGGAGTCTGAGTCACCGAAAACTAATCGACTTCGCATCTCTGGTAGGTACCAGAGTCTACTACCTATATAAAATTAGCCATGAGGCTGCTTGAAATTTGTGTCTAGTACGTATGCATAACTATGTAGAATTGCATGCTCTTTTTTAATAGTGACGGTACACTACATAGGAACTGGAACCATTTAATTCAATTGCCCACATTAAATGCCTCCCCCGAACAAAGAAAAAATTAAGGAATTGTTTAATTTTATCTGAGCTTGGATACCTAGGTACACATCATATCATCAAGCACGTTTAGGAACACAGGGATTGTTGCAATGTTACAGCTCCACCCGTGATGTTGCCAAGGATGCTAATGGTGCATTGTAATTTACAAAATTATGCCTACCCTCTAAATATGCGAAGATCACGGCATCGAAATTATCGCAAAATAAATTAGCTAGAGCCTCGTCAAAAATGCTATATAAACGCGACTCCTATCTTGGATAGCGCAGTCGCACTTACCTTGCGTTCATCACGGATGAGCTGAAACAGTTCAAGCTTTTTCTGTTCCGCAATTATTCGCTTCATCTCCGCTTGCACTTATCTTTTGCTCGTTCGATTGAGAATTAATAGTTAAGAATTATCATATGAATACCAAGGGACGCGAAGGATGAGTAGTTTTGAAACAAGCGGTCAGATACGCCACTTTGTTGCCATGGCAACGTCAACCACATTATAATTCAATTTACTCAATCTTTTCATTGAATAAAGATATATATGTATTCGAAATAATTATTGGAAGCTAGTAAAGGTTGAAAATACGTTTTAACAAAACAATTTTTTTCTTTTCCGTTCGTTTTCTAGCACCTTTTTCCTGCCCAGGCCGCCGAACATCCAATCCTAAAAACGCGAGTTGTCAAATTTACCTGGACAGGTAGGTAGAATGGTGCAAGAGAAGTTGCCGCCGCAGGTAGTTTTACTAGGTAGGTATTTTGCTGATTCTACCTAGCTAGGTAGTTTGGTGCAAGAGGCCTCAGTTTCGTCAGGTATACCGCAGGTACATGAGCAAATAATGCATCTGCAGAGGTATCTTACATAAACCAATCTACCGCAAATCCATTTCTGATGCACGCTGTCAGCTCATATAACTGTATTGACATGATTGTGGGCAGCCAAAGCCCGACCGGTCATGCTTCTTGGGTCCAGTGCGCGTTGCAACGAAAAAAATCACCCTCTTCATTAATCTCCTTGCTCTAAAAAGAATCGGTATCGCTCTAGAAATTGCGTCTCTTACGGGTGTCAATAGCCTTGAGTATTTTGTCATTGGTTGCGTAATAATCGGCATTGCAAAATATGAAAACTAACAGAACTCAATGACAATTGAAGCATAAATCACGGCCTACCATAAACCGTGCTTACCGAAATGGTCTTTGATAAAGTCGATGATGCCTAGTACCTACCGGCAGTTTCATTGTATGCAAATTTCAAGGATTTCATGGTATTTCTCATGTGAATTCAAGGCCGTATAAGAGAGGTAGAATCATCCCGCGATTTCCAATGGACCGGTCGCTAAGCATTAGCGTGACGTCACTGGTGGAGACCGGGCGGCGCCCGGCTCCAAGCTGTACGTCGGGTACATTTGGCACCGTATAGTTGCTATTACTGATCGACGAACGTAACGACAACTAATGACTCTCAATGACTTTTTTACTCACCTAAAGCTGATTTCCTTGCCGGTACATTGCCGACCCGAGCCCCAGGGTTGACAATCATGGGATGGGATATGGGTCGGATGGGCGACCTCGCGACGGGAGGAGGAACGATTGCAATTGTTGTGTTCCGCACCGCCGATTGCATTCTCTATCTGCACCCGGAGGGAGGGGATGCAGGGGCACGTGCCCCCATCGGATCAGGGGGCCTCTCGGGCCAGAGGGGCCTTGCGACCCCAATTGGCGGCTGAGGGTCCACGCTGGCATCTTTCGACTCAGAAGGGCCCCACAGGGCTCGGAAGAACACCTTATGTGCTCCGAAGAGCCATACTTCTCTCCATAAGAGCCCCACACCGGCTTTTTAGTGTCCCTTGTCGGCCTTTGAGGGCCCCTTGCCGGCTTCTCAGAGCCTATTGGCGACCTCTGCGGGCTACTTGCCGGCCTCTGAGGGCCCTTACCGGCCTATCAGGGACCAGCAGCTCTAAGGGTTCCACACACGCCTGCGATGACCAGCTAAACCAATGGTCGAAGGCCCCCACAACGGCGCCTGCGAGGGCCCTCACCGGCGGCTGTGAATGCCCCACACCGATGCCTAGCTGAGGGCCGAACACTGCCACCTCTGAGTGCAACCGGCACCCCTGAATGAGGTCCCGAAACCAGTGCTTCTTAAGGCCATATAGCCATGTATCGGCGGCTCTGGGGGCTCAACGCCGGAGCCGCATCGGACGGCCACTCACCGGTGACTTTTGAGGCCCCACGGCCCACACCGACGACTCTGAGGGCCCCACTGGCGTCTGAGTGTACATACCTTGCTGGTCTCTAAGGACTCCACAGGACTCCCGAAGGCACCGCAGACCTCTTGAGAGCCCCTTGTCGGTCTCTGAGAGCCCCTGTCGGCCTGTAAAGGGTTCGAGCCAGCAGCTCTAAGGGCCCCACACCCGACTGTGACAACTCCACACTGCAAAGTCTCTGAGGGCCCACAACGGCAACTGTGAGGACCCACAGTGGCACCTCTGGGGGCTTCGCACCAATGCCTGTGAGAGCATTACACCGGTACCTGTGAGGGCCCACACCAGTGCCTCCAAAGGCTTCATAACCGGCGGCCCTGAGGGCCCTACACGGGTGATTTTGAGGGGCGTACCGAAGGCACCACACAATCCCTTAGTCTCGCTGAGCTTCTATCCCAATCCCATACCGGCCTCTATCCCAATTCCGGCTCAACTAATTATCACCCCCCCCCCCCCTCCATGGGTCAGCAGCGCCGCGCCGGTGCCGGGGGCTAGCGCCATCGGGGCGGCAGTCGGCCACGCGCACTCAGTAGTTAGCGCTTAGCACCGGCGGCTAGCGCACGCCCGGTGTGTTATCGGCCGTGAGCCGCTCCAAAACGGCTGCAGTAACTTGTCGATATAGGTAGTAAGCAGATGCAGAGATGCAGGTGGATTGATGACCGGCAGGCTTTTGTGTTTTACGAGGGTGAAGGGTCGAAGTCGGCTGCTAAGTGGTGAGCGGATTTTATCAGATGCCGGTTCACTATGACCTTTGTCCGGGTCCTGGTACCCTGATGCACTCTACCCTGAGAGCCGAATCACAGCAAAACTCCATCCACGGCTGTATCTATACGGCTTACACTTTTTTGAAAACGTCTGCGTTTGGCCTTCTACGGGCCCGGCCGGCCGGCCGGCCGGCCCCGATTGGCGGTCCTCCAGTGACGTCACCGGTAGTGTTAAGCTGATTGGCGGATCATACATGGGAAGAACCGGGACGACATCCCCCTGTGTGAATTCAACCTATGTCTTCGGTGATACGAGTGATCAAAGATGCGGAAGTGGTAGTAACGCTAAATGGGTTACACTAAATATCATTCTGTCCTTTTCAGACACTGCTGCTGCTGGCGGCATCAACGAGTGGCTCCTTACAGGGCGCCTCCTCCTGGCGGCCATACTACGGTCCGTACGGGGGCAGGCCGAGCCACAGCTACGGCCGGCCCCACACCAGCTACGGACCGCCAGACAGCGGTCATGGGATCTCCAATAGCCTCCACGGCACCCACGGAGTCTCCACCGGCTACGGGCCTCCAAAGGCCAGCAGTCTCCACAGCAGTCACAGCATTTCCGGCACTTTCAGCCGACCCATGACCCTGCACGGGAGCCACAGCGTGTCTGCCAGCTACAGCGCGCCGAGCGGAGCGCACGGGGGCCACGGATCGGGCTCCAGCTACGGACAGGGCCACAGACCGACCTCCAGCTACGGGCAGAGTTCCGGACAAGGGTACGGTCATCAAGCACAATACCAAGCCAACCCATGTGCAACGTTCATCTCCTGTGAGGACGACAAGGGCTGCCCGTCTGGTCAATACTGCTCGGCGTCGCCTCACCTTCCTCAATGTGGAAAAGAGTGTCTCCCGGACCTCCCCAACACCTACAGCTGCGATCGGGACTACCAGTGCCGCTCCAACTATTGTGACCCCAACACGCACACCTGTCGGTTGCGACCGAGTCCTCCCGACCCGTGCAAGGGCTTCATGGCTTGTCAGGATGACAAACAGTGTCCGGCTGACCGGTACTGCGGGGAATCTCCTCACCTGCCACAGTGTGGTCACGAGTGTCTCCCGGATCTTCCTAACACATATACCTGCGAACGGGACTACCAGTGTCGGTCCAACTACTGTAATCCAAACACGTACACCTGTCAGCTAAGGCCGAGCCCACCCGATCCTTGCAAGGGCTTCATGGCTTGCCAAGATGACAAACAGTGCCCAGCCGACAGGTATTGTGGGGAGTCGCCTTACCTTCCGCAGTGTGGCCACGAGTGTCTACCCGACCTCCCCAACACTTACCAATGTGACCGGGACTACCAGTGCCGCTCCAACTACTGCGACCTCGCGTCTGGCACGTGCCGCGACAGGCCCTCGCCTCCGGACCCTTGCGCGGGCTTCCTGGCCTGCCAGGGGGACCAGAGTTGCAGTGTGGTGCAGCACTGCGCACCGTCGCCGCTGCGGCCTCTCTGTGGCTCAGAGTGTGTGCCGGACCTGCCGAACGGGATGAACTGCGAGCGTGACCAGCAGTGTCTCTCCGGATACTGCCACCCGGATCAGTACGTCTGCAAGCCTCTGTGCTACGGCGTCAACAGCTGCTACAGTGACTCGGGCTGCGCATACAGCGAGCACTGCAGCCCATCGAAGACTAACCCTCAGTGTGGGAAGGAGTGCCAACCCGACTACCCCGATATGACACATCCCTGCGATCGTGACGAGCAATGCCAGTCAGGATACTGCGATCCTGCCGTTGGTCAGTGCAAGTCACCTTGCGCTGATTTCGTGTCATGTTTTGACGACTCATCTTGTGCACCAAATGAACATTGTAGTCCATCAACAACTAGACCCCAGTGCGGGAAGGAATGCCAACCAGACTATCCTGATATGACGAACCCATGCAATCGTGACGAACAATGCCAGTCAGGATACTGCGACCCCAGCGTTGGTCAGTGCAAGTCGCCTTGCGCTGATTTCGTGTCATGTTCTGGCGACTCGTCTTGTGCACCTAGTGAACATTGCAGTCTATCAGCAACTAGACCCCAGTGTGGGAAGGAATGCCAGCCAGACTATCCTGACATGACGAACCCATGTGATCGTGACGAACAATGCCAGTCAGGATACTGTGACGCCAACGTTGGTCAGTGCAAGTCACCTTGCGCTGATTTCGTGTCCTGTTCTGGCGACTCGTCTTGTGCACCAAATGAACATTGTAGTCTATCAGCAACTAGACCCCAGTGTGGGAAGGAATGTCAACCAGACTATCCTGATATGACGAACCCATGCAATCGTGACGAACAATGCCAGTCAGGATACTGCGACCCCAATGTCGGCCAATGCAAGTCGCCTTGCGTCGACTTCGTCCCGTGCCAGGGCGACTTTGCTTGCGCCCTGGAAGAGTACTGCGACGTGTCACCGACCCTTCCCACCTGTGGCAACGAGTGTCTTCCGGATCGTCCCAACATGAGCCCGTGCACGCGCCACGACCAGTGCCTCTCCGACTTCTGTGACCCAGTCCTCATGCAGTGCAAGCCACGTGACGCACCGCCACCTGAGCCGTGCTGCCTGTTCGGTTTCACGCGGCTCGGTGACTCCTGCTACGAGCTTCAGCGAAGCAAGACCACTTTCGATCAGGCGCGCACACAGTGCGCGACACAGTTTGGAGGCGACCTCACCACCGTGCCAAGTCAGGAGGTGAACAGCCTGCTGACTGACCTGCTGAGCATGGGGAACGCCACTTCCGCGTGGATTGGCGTCACCGACCTACGGACGGAGGGGGTGTTCGAGGACGTTAATGGGGTGCCGCAGGTGTTCACCCAATGGGGGCCCGGTAGACCGAGAAACTCCATCTCGCGAAACTGCGTGGAGGTGGTCGGCAACGGCTTTTCAAACGCTGGCCAGACCCTCAGTCCCGGCGCGTGGAACGACCTCCAGTGTAACAAATATAGGTACTTCGTGTGCGAGACGAGCGTGCTGCCCATTTGCCCGAAACTGTAGACACGGAGTTTGAGCCTCCGTACTTCGCTGACGAAGCATCTAGGGATGGGAATATTCTTCACAACAGTGTCATCTGTCACGTCGCGGTAGCAATAACTCAAGGAAGGATATAATAGCGAATTAGTCACATTTATGATACCTACTCAATATTTCTAGGTGATCTTTGCAGTCTGAAATATAACACAATCATAGACCACTTTGCGATATTATGCATTAGTAGAGCCTAGACTAATAACATTCCACGTCTAATTCATTCGCTCTGCTAGGTACTGTGCACAGCTATTAAGTGTGCATTGTTGTTAATGACAACTCTGCCTTGTTGATGTGAATATGTTACTGCGATGTGATTTTGTTTTGAAATAAATGTTACCTTATGAAACATTGTTTTGGTTGGTAGATATATGTAGACACTGGCAGATCCAGAAAGGCAGTCTTGGACGCTGCGGGGGGAGGGGTAGACCCCCAAAAAGTTTCTCCAAATTCCCAAAACTCATCCGATTTCAACTCCTTACACAGTGCTGTGCAGTTTAAAACACACTTTTCCTAGTTTTAAGTTCTCGCTTTATTCTCGAAAACCGCAAATTCTCGTCAATTTCGGGAGCTGGGGGGTGGGGGAGGGGTGGGGTGGGGACATTTGCCAGTGGATGTAGACTTGCTGCAAGCTCATATTATTTATACACTTAACCACTGTTCAGAACTCACGACAGGTCACTAAACTCTGTCCAAGAATAGACACAATCACACTGCACCTGCTTGATCGTGATTCTAAGAAAACGCGGAGCGGCTGAGCAATAGCGGATGGCTGATCTTTCTCTGTTCAGACATTGCAAGAGATTTGAGCACTCGTATCCCTTCTGCTCTGATGAAGCACTTTGTCAAATGACGTTCAAGCCGACTCACGGTAACAGGCGGTCACTTAGGCTATTGACTCTGGGCTCACTGAGCGCCAAGGCCACCGGCGCGGCGCCCGCAGTGTCCCACAAGTGTTGGCAGGGCCAGTGCGGGCGCGCTCAGTCGGCGGTTGAGAGCCTGATAGTGGCGATAAGGGGGCGGTGGACTGATCAGAGGACACCAGCAGACGGACGGGGAACAGGTCACAGGACACCGGCAGGACGGACGGTAGGCGAGCCGGAGGACACCTGCAGACAAAAGGTGGGTGGTTCAACGGACTCCGCAGGAGCTCTACATACTTAGCTATCACTATGGGGCGGGGAACCATCAAACCTTGCACGCGTGATAAGATCTTCATAGTACCGACGATAAGCTTCTTTTCTCATATGATAGAGAGCGTAGGCACCATAGCAAATATTCCACGATGGGAAGACGCTTGTAACGTACCCGAGATCTGTCTCTGTCATGCTTTATCGTTTATTTTATTTGTTCCTCAGATGAAGGCTGGTGGTCTGTTGAGGACGGTGCTGACGGCAGCGATCCTGCTCGCCGGCTCCGCGTCAGCCGAACAGGAGCCCGTGGTGGCGACCAAAGCCGGCTTTGTTCGCGGTACCACACTCACGTCACTCATCGGGAATGAGTTTTTCTCATTTAAAGGTTAGACACTTCATCGCAATGCCACCTTTGAGAAGATGAATCTATATTCCTGTTGGGTTTATTGCGCATTTCATTTTACGTTGACTGTATGGAGAATACGGCGTTGAAGTAACGAAATTTTCAAGCATTCGAAACGTATCTGCTTATTTATATATTTGCTTCATGACTGCCAACTAATCATACACTATTTTTCTTGTTGAACCGGATTGCTCCTCGTTGCTACCCAGGGGCGCCGCCACGGATTTTTGACTGGGGGGGACGGACTGACCGGCTGAAAACCCAAAAGTAGACATTCTTACCGTGGCTTTTTCGGTCGGATGCATTCAACGTTAAAAGCAAATATGCCACTTTTAGCATAGGGTTTTGAACTGAAGTAACAATTTTGTAGCTTGAGCTGAGACGAGAACAAATCAGGAGCTTTTATGGCCCAACGATCACCCTAGCGAAATATATCGGTATCGATTTTAGGTTTGAAGACTGAAGTCATTCCCATAGATTATACGTGGTGCACTCCAGAAGTTTTGAGACTTTTTCAGTAGAGACAGTTGTCTGTTTCAGAGAAGCATGAAACTTCTATGACTCTCGAAGTGGAACCTCCCGAGTCCAATGCACCTGCTTTAGCGCCCCTGTCACTGCCTGGAAGTCTGCTGATAGGCCTTCAAAGTGAAGGTGCCCAGGGCCTCTGTCACAGCCTCACTCATCTCCTCCACATCCTCCGAAAGACGGCCCCTGAGCTTCCCTGTCAGTCTGGGGAACATCCAGAAACTACAGGGGCCAGCTCAGGACTGTGGAAAGGGTTACGGACGGTGTTGACGCACATCTGTGTCAGATAGTTCGTCTCCATGTTGGACTTGTGGGTGTGTGCGCTGTTCTGGTGCAGGAGCCCCTGGCCACAGTTGAAGAGTTCCGACCTCTTGCGGCGAAATCTCTTTCTCAACTCCCTCAGAACCTTCACGAATCATTCCTTGTTGACCATCTGGCCGTGTAGGGGACCCAGGTTATGAAGTTTTTGCCTTTTTGTTCTAAGTAAGGGATTAATTTGATATTCCCAGTGGACCTGCGCTGTCTGTCTTTATTGGGTCTGAAGGAGTCAGTATGTTTTCATTGGACCTTCTGTCTCTTGGTCTCATGATGGTAAAATACATCCAGCTTTCGTCTCAAGTCACTTGAGAGTCAATTCGCTATGTTTCTCGGGCATTTTTGTCAAGCTAATCTTAAAATTTTATTGCACAGCGACCCTCCAAGTTGTCTTCACATGAACAACCTGACTGTGCTCTACACCGGTCACTGTGACAAGCCGCGTGCGACTTGCCATGTTCAGGGTGACACCGTTGCCGTCTTTTGCAACGTAGAAAAACAAAATTAAGCAAGTACGTTCATAACAACTGTAGTAAGGACTTGTGAGAACAACAAGTGTCTAGCACTGTTCATATGGATTTTACGAGGCCAGTCTCAAAACTTCTGGAGTGGACGACGTACTTTGTCATTCTCTTACCGAGGAATCCATTCCCTTACGGAAAAATGCTAGCCAATCAGCATTCAGCTGGTTTAACTGTGAACTACGTACTATGCTTGGTCAACGCGTAATCAGCTTCCGCTGCAATATAGGTAAGTACTAAGTAGCCTGTACGAAAGATGGAAAATAGTGATGTAAAAATAAATATAAAATCCTTTTGCAAATATTCATTATTTCCTGACCATTTTAAGTTTAAAAACTCATAAAACTGTGGCAAAACAACTGGTTTGAGGAAAGTAGTTTAGGTTAGGTATTTCCTTAAAGTAATGGCTATAGACCGCATTCCCACCGAGTACCTACCTATATACAGTATACACATCTGATGTCCGATTCAGTTTGTCACGGCAAAGCCTCGTGTTCTATCACGGTATTATTGCTGATATATGCCACTAATATGATCGATAATGCATATTGCATAGGTAATGCATATTGCATACCCGCGTGGGGGAGGGGGCGTTGCATGGTCACAAATCTCTCTTTTTGGTTGGTGCACGAATCGGCGCGAAGCGCCGCGAAAATTGGCAAAAAAAAAACATTAGGCAAAACTGCTCCAAAATACGAATTTTGCAGCCCGTGTAACAAGCTCGATACCAGAAAACCTTAGGTCAGGAAAACCAAGTCAAGTAGTCAAGTCGCCTCAAAGTTTTGTGGTCCTGTCAACCGTATAGCTTATTTCTTAGAAGCTGGAAATTTAGTGTAGCGTGACTGCAGAAGTGTGGGGTCGGAGCCGGAATCAGTCGGAGTTGACTGTTTTGGCCAGTTTTGGCCAGAGTCGGAGTTGAAGTCTTCGAAAATGTTCGGATTTTGACTTCGAGGTCGGATTGGTGTAAAGTCATGCTCTTGGCTGGTTAGACGAAATATATTAGGCCCGTGTTCGGCCAGTCGTGTTATACGACACACGTCGATCACGATATCAAAAATCGGCAGTTCCGCGATGACAGGTCGGATAAGAGCTGGAGATTTTGTTGGCCGAGGTGGCAGGGGTCAGACCAATGCATGTAGGCCCACGCCCCATATACTGAGTATCTAAACCTCCTGGACCCACCTCCGTTCCATCGCTTCCATCCTCAGGATACATAAATCCTTCTTCTCCACGCCGCAACCCCCACTCCGGGCTGGACAGGCACCTTTATCTCATGCGGGCTGCTCCCTTGGAGCGGCACCGCTGCTCCCGAGGGAGCGCACCCCGTAGCCGGGTGCAGAGAGTGCTTGGGGGGCTGGTCGGCCTGTCCTTTCGGACGGGCTCAGCCCCGGCGACTCTCTAGGGCGTCTACCCAGACCAATGTCTCTCCCTAATTCCTATCATCCTTCCGGCCCTGAAATGGTCTCGTCAGACCGAAAGGGCCTAACCCAACAAAACAAACAATCCTAGACCCTCTCAGATTCGGCACCGGCCGTTCCATCTCTTCCATCCTCAGGACAGTCAAATCCTTCTCCTCCACGCCGCAACCCCCTGCTCCGGGCTGGACGGGCAACTCTATCCCATGCGGGAATGGCTCCACGTGGAGCTATAGTTGTATGGAGCTATAGAGCTATAGCTCCAGTGCACTGGAGCTATAGTCCTTTGCCGGGTGCAGTGAGTGCCTGCAGTGGGCTGGGCTGCCTGTTCAATTGGACAATTGGACGGGTTCATCCCAAGTGGCTCACTGGTGTGGCTGCCCCGACCAATGTCTCCCACTAATTCTTTCATACTTGCGGCTCTGAAATGGTCTCATTGGACCGAAGGGCCTAATCAAATTTCGAGTAGAATAACAACCAGTAAAACGCCTTTTGGGGCGACCAACGGAGCGAGCGAGAGGGTGGGGTGGGCCTTGCACTTGCAAAATTGCGAGGGGATACCTCCAACTACCTTGTGCACTGCACCCTTCTAACCGGTCCCTAACGATGTGCCAAATTTGAGCGCAATAGGCCTAGCCGTTCTCGAGATCTGGAAGCGGTACCCTGCAAGTGCGCACGTGCAAAATGGGTCCCAACTGACTTTTGCACGGCACCCTACCAACCGGTCCCTAACCATGTATTAGATTTCAGCACAATCGGTTCAGCCGTTCTCGAGATCTGGAATCGACCCCTGCATGTGCGCACGTGCAGCAGCACCCCAACTGTGGCACACGGATATGCATTGCCTAGTGGATATACCTCCTACCTACATGCCAACTTTCAGCGCAATCGGCCCAGTAGTTGCCGAGATATTGAAATTGTTACAAAACTGACACCTCTTCGTTTTTCACGTGGCACGTGCATATGGGGTCACTCAAATGCATCGGGAATAGTCCGATGCTCGTTAGAAGGAATGAATCTAGTGCTACCCTATACAAAAATTACCGCATGTAAATCGGTCAAGTGGTTGCTGAGATATAAGCCTAGCAAAAGCGTGACCACGGCATACTCAGAAATTTCCGTTAACCTACGAAAGACTACGCTCGCTTCGCTCGCTCCGTGATGAGTTTGGGGGGGACGTCCCCCTTCCAATCTGAGAGTGGGGGGGACGCGTCCCCCCCGTCCCCCCCGGTGGCGGCGCCCATGTTGCTACCTATACCGCACAGGATTGGGGGAACACCGCCCTTTGGGGAACACCGCCCACGACTATCTACCACTTCCTGACTAATATGACTTTATACCAAAAAGTTGCGGCTAATCATCATTCATTATAATGCAATCAGAGGACCATTTAACTCCTTGAATTCGTTACGAACAGGCAATGAACATGATAAGCCTAATCACAACGAATTCCTGTAGTAAAATAGACCATTAACTGCCAAATGATAAGCAAAACCCTGCTAATCGAGCTCCGTCAAGATTTACCTAATAAATAGCCACATTCGACCAAGAACAGATGTTGAACGCAACCTTATAATTGTTTTCTCACCTGCAGGCATTCCGTACGCGCAGCCGCCGGTAGGAGCCCTACGGTTCCGTCTCCCGGAGCCCCACGAGGGCTGGCCAGGGGTGCGGAACGCCAGCGAGCACGGGAACCGGTGTCCACAAACGGACGTGTTAACCCTCCAGCCGACCGGCGACGAGGATTGTCTCTTCCTGAACGTATACACGCCGCGACTGCCCTCCGAGCGTGAGGACGTCCGTCTGCCGGTCATGGTCTGGGTCCACGGCGGAGGATTCATGGTGGGCGACGGCAACGCGGCGCCGATGACGGGCCCGGAGTTCCTGCTCGACCAGCAGGTGGTGCTGGTCACCCTCAACTACCGTCTCGGGACGTTCGGCTTCTTCACCACCGGAGACGGGGAGGCGCCGGGCAACTACGGCCTCCACGACCAGGTGTTGGCACTGCGCTGGGTGCAGGACAACATCGCCGCGTTCGGCGGCGACCCGGACAGGGTGACCATCTTCGGCGAGTCAGCCGGCGGAGCCAGTATTGGTCTGCTGGTACTGAGCCCGCTGGCGCAGGGCCTGTTCGCCCGGGCCATAAGTCAGTCCGGTGCGGCGTCTTGCAACTTCGCGGCCAACGGCGCGCCGCAGGGCCGGCTGGCCAGGCAGCACGCTGAGCTGCTCGGCTGTCCGTCCGACAGCTCAGAGGCCATCGTCGACTGTCTGAGACAAAAGTCGACCGAGGAGATAATGGAAACGGTTGCGCAACTCGACGGTACCAAGGTTCTCATGCTTCTGGCCATCCCGTACAAACCTCGCGTGGACACCGAGGCCGAGATTCCTTTTCTGCCCGAGGACCCGTACCTGGCCCTGCAGAGCGGACGCTTCAACCGGGTACCCTGGATGAACGGTATGACGGAGAATGAGGGTGCTGGAAACACCGCCATGATCCTCGCTAGGATGCCGGACACGTTTGCCACTCAGGATTGGAATGTCTGGGGCAGAGCCCTTATGGACTTGCGGGATGTGACTGATGACCCAGCGACGATCGCCGAGAAGATCTACCGTTTCTACCTCGGTGAAGAACTTGTGACCAAGGAGAACATCAACCGGGTGGTAGATATAGTAAGCGATCGCACTTTCACCAGCTGCATATCGAGCGAGATCGAGCTGGCGTCCTCCCACACTCCCGTCTACAAATACATCCTGAATCACCGCGGGCCGGGACGCCAGAGTCTTCTGGATATGCTCGGCATCACTCTCGACATGGCTCCGGATCAGCTGCCCGACCTGGGCGTGTCACACGCGGATGACCTCGCCTACCTGTTCCGCGGGTCCGGAAGCGCACCAGTGGAGCTCGGCTCGGTGCGCCACACGATGGTTCGCTTCATGGTCTCGGTTTGGACCAGTTTCGCGCGGGACGGCTACCCCAGCTCGGACGTGGTCCCGATGCCGAGCTGGCCAACGTACTCTGCTGAGCAGCAGCAGCACATGTGGCTTAGCAGCGAGCCCAGCGTGGGCCGAGCCGTGTTCAGCGAGCGAGTCGACTTCTGGAACACACTCGACATCAAGGAGAACTGGCGCGGACCTATGGAGCAGCAGCAGAGGGATGAGCTGTAGATGGCTAGCGCGGACTGTGTGCATGACTGAAGCGGAGATCGTAAAATACACGTTTCCCCTCCTCCGCCGAGGGGGGCATTGTGCTCACCCTGACGGTTCTCTCTCAGTTTTTCGGAAAGGATTAGCGATAAATGGCCGAATGTTGGCAGGCCTGATCTCTGATTGAAGTTGTGGCACTGACTGCACTTTCTTGTAAACTCAGGTGATTGACCTATGCCGCCGTAAGTAAATATCTGCTTTCTGCAATGTCTTAATAGGTCGCAACATTGCAGCGCCCTCATGCAGTGTCAGGGAATGGTTTGCAGGAAAATGAAAGTTACAGGGCGTAGTAAGTTTTCGAGTAACTACCCACAAGTTGTGTAGCTAGGATTTTTTCATAAAGGTCACCTGAGCTTAGGCTGGTCACGAGGCATCACCATAACCAGGGGGGAGGGGGGGGGGGGCAGTAATCGCCACGCAATGTGTGGATCGCCCACGATCGTAAATACAGGTATGGAAACTAATTTTGGCACCAGAAATGAGCTAAGACTATCTCAAGCACAAATAATCAAGATTTGCGAGCATATTGGTAGTACTAGGGACGGCCAGCATATGACCGCGGCTTTCGGCGACATTGTCAATTCGTTTTCGACTCTGCTGTTCGCTGCAAGACAAATACACATAGAAAGCGGCTCGGGCATTTGGAGAAGAGCGGCTACTCTGACGCGAGGGAAGAACACGGAGATTCACACGAACGGACCTGACTAGGTCGCATCGGCCACAACCAACTGAGGCTCTGTCGGCCGTCGTACGGCTCACGGATAGATTTACACAGACCGTTCGTTCTGCACATCAGCCTACGACAAAGTCATTCGTCAATAACTCCTGATTAAAACTAAAACTGGTGACCCACTACATCCCTGCCGAATCGAATGATATGCAACATTATCTCTCTCGACCAGCTTCGTGACCTGAGCACTGCGCGCACCCTGACATGAGGTGACCTCACCTGATCTTGACCTGAGGTCAGCATTTAAGATTGCATTTTGCAAATAAAAATGGGTTAACCCTCGCCGGACCTATTGGTTCTCTACATACGCGCCGGCCGAGGGGGGGGGAGCGGGTTACGACCCCCCTCGCCGTTTCGCCCCTGGAGGAGCTAGCGCGTCGCGGAAAAAACGAGCGTGTGCGCCGTTACGAGACGCAGAGATTGATACCCGATTTTAAGGTCATAGGTCAACCGGTGACCTTTGAGATCAGGTCAAGTGCCCCAAGGTACGGCTCAGTTTTTGGTTTTGGTGGTCAACTTCGCAAAAACGGTCGCAGAGCCGGCGATTTTGGCAGCATCGTGTTTGCCTCGATCAAGCGCGTCGAATGATATACTTTTTGTTTGGGTGAGGTCAACTTTGGGTGTTGACCTCAGGTCACGGTCAGGTCAGCACCCCCAGGTCACGAAATCGATCGAAGTAGGTCACGTCGCATATCATTCGATTTGACAGGTCTTCCTGAGTCCATTAGTGGCTTTCCCGACTCGCTAGCTCAATTGGATCGGGAGTTATTGACGAAAAACTAATATGACCCTAATGACGTCATAAATGACGTCACGCAAGGTCAACATTGCAAAAGTGACGCATCTAACCTTGCAAGGAGTGCACCAAATCACGATTCTGTGTGCTTGAGATAGTTGGAGATAGTTTCCGGCGCAAGAATAGCAGTTTTCATTTTTCCCCGTTGCCTTATAATGGTGAGGTCACGAAAATGACCTGACCTCATATGACCTTCAGGAAATTTCCGAGACATACAAGTTGTGAGACTAGTAATGGATATTAGATCCTGCAAGTTTCATTTCCCTGTGAAAGCTACCTACTCTGGCAGTGAGGGCGTTGCGAAGTTGCGACATCTGAAGACCGTGCATAGGTTCACTCATGACGTTATAGGTCAGTGACCTGACCTGACCCGAAAACGCAGTTGGTGTCAAAAGATTCGGCTTGAATCAAAGGTCAGGTATGCCAAGTTTCAGCTCTCCATCACCAGCGTGTCCGGAGCTATCGCGAAAAAAAACCTATGGGGGGCGGCACCCGCCCCCCGCCCCGTCGGCCGGCGAGGGTTCCTTCTCCGAAAACCAAACTCCCACCTCAGGGAAGTTCACCTGAACTCAGAGGTCTCCGGTTAGCCTAAGACCTTCAAATTTGGTAGGCATGTGTCTACAAGTTGTTGCGATTCGCAACGGCGCACACACTCATTTCTTTGCGAAGCTCAAGCTTAACTACCTTTACTAACTAACTAGTACTCTTTATGTACATAAAGAAACGGCGAGGAGGTGTTCTTTCATTACGTTACACCAATGTGAAAAAAGCGATGGGCCGGGTGAGAGTCTATAGGAAGCAATGGACTGTATCATGCGCTTACAATGTTTTTAGGTGGAAGGTGCATACCTAACTAAAAACTTTATTTTCCCGGCTCGTAAATGAAGCTGTTGTAGGTACTCAGCTACCGTTTTTGATAGTACTGTCTTTTAGCAAGCTGTATGAATCAGATATAGCATATTTGGACGATAAATCTAGAGCAGCTTTTAGATATTACTCGGGCTGAGATGAATCAGTTTGTGGCCTGGCAAGTGCCCGATCGCGTCGGCAGGCGCGCCGTCTGACGGCAGACGACAGAACCTATAGCTTCGACCTGACTACCACCAGGCAGCGCGCTCGCTGTTCTGTTCCGTGGTCGTTTAGAAAGGCTGACCGACTAGGCACTTATGCGGCGGTGTAACTTTTGCTTTTGAGATGGGGATGCACTTGGTGGTGGGGGCGATCCTCGATGTGGATACGGGCGCTCCAAGTTCCATAGAAAGTGCCTACCTACCTCTCAATCAAACTTTGGAAAGATGCGTAGTTTGCGAATGGTTGATACATGGACGTAAGGGGAAAGTGGGTGCATTGCGCCCTCCTTTCCATTTGCGCCCTCCAACATTCCCACGAATTCAATGGCATGTTAACATTTTGTTTTCGAAAACATTATTTTCGCCAATGGTTGGTTCCTTTTATGGCCCAAGCTTTTCAATCGCGGAACCAATCAGCAGTGCTCGTTACGGTTACGCCACAAAAGATATTGCCTACGCCATTTTCTAAGTTTTTTTTGCAGCATTTTGAACCATTGGCAAAAATGTGCGATATATGTAACATTTTTAGATAAATTTTCAGAAAATTATTTTGATAGATAAGTCCGTTTTCCGTTGTATTTTACTTAAATAAAAAACATTCTGAGCATCTTTATGAGAACTTCTACGCTTTTATGAAAAAGGTATGTACCTCAATTTTAATAGCGCCCGTAGCAATGGCGCCACGGGGGCGCAAATAGACTAATGGTGTAGGTATTGTATCACAACAGAAGTTATCATTAACTTATTGCAATAAAGAAGAAGTTTTATGTCAGGCAGGGGAGCAACGCGCTATCGTCAGTCTGCAAATTATTTCTCTGGTCAAAGTTATAATCCAGCTGCCATTTGGGCCATAAACTTGTGGTGTAAATGACAAAATATGGTATTTTCAAAATGGACTCAGGCATGAGAGGTGACAGCTATGATACAAAGTAAAAAGCGGTGTCAAAAAGCTGTCGAATCGGTAACAATGTGTGAAATTCGAAAGATCCATTGGAAAATATAGCCGTATGGGCGCATACGTTCATATAAATAGCTGGTCGGTTGCATTAAACGTTTTTGTTGCACTTACACAAGCATACGGACCCACGGAAAGTTATTTACATGCGCAAAACATCGCGATTTATATTAGTAGGTATATAGGCATCCAGCCTGATTAACAGTATTAACCCTCGCACCGACGGGGGGGGGGCGGATATCCGCCCCCCTGAGGTTTTTCGCGAATAGCGGGAAAACCGCGGCGCGTAGCGCCGCGAAATTTGATATGACTATAACCTCATCAATTTTACACATGGTGTGCAAGTTTGAACCTCCTACCTTTTAAGGTCAGGTCACCAGGTCACTTTGAATGACCCAACCTCAAGTCACTTTTTTGCAACTTTGTCACCGTGCCAGAGCTACAGTAGATGTCGGAGGCCTTTGAAAGTCGCAGGATATTATTAGGTCATTAGTAGCTACAATTTGTTCATCTCGGAATTTTGATATCGGTGACCTAAGGTCAGGTCAATTTCGCGACCTCCCCATTATAAGTCAATGGGGGAAAAATCAACTCCCTGTTTTTACCACTAAAACGGGTCGGAATGGCCCCATATACCATACATGACTTCATATACGATCAACCTTCACTACCTTGAGGTCTGTTTTGCTGTTGGGCAGCTGTGAGGTCATGTGACGTCATCAAAGGTCACCAAAGGTTTTTGGCCAATAACTCCGTACAGGAACAAGATACAGACGCCTGGATGGTCTCATTGTGTTCAGCTCGTCAAGACGCATCGAATGATATACATGATGACCTCGAGGTCACGTGACCTCAGGTCAACCTTTGACCTTGACCTTTCGAGGTCAACATATATATCATTCGATGCGGATTGACGAGAGGATCACGATGGTGCCCTTAGTTTGTTCCTATCTTGACTAATTCGAAAGTTATTAGAGAAAAACTCTCTCCATATCCAGCGCCGCCATTTTGACTTTTTCGACCCCTGTGACGTCATCTTTGACCTGACCTGAAAATGACCTTAGTAAAAATTGTAGATCTTGGCCGTGCGTATCCGATGCCGTTTACCGCTTGTCGCTATCTTGCTTCGTTCTCGAGATCTCAGGGGGGGGGGGCGGTCATTCGCCCCCCCCCCGTCTCGGTGCGAAGCTGGCGCAGACCCCCGTCGGTGCGCGGGTTAATGTCAAGCCCAAATGACATAGACTACCGAGGTGTATGCATTCCATCTCATTTCCTTTGACATGTTGAAGCATAGGGCGCGATTGGATTCTGATTGCGTTATCCCCCCTGGCGCAATTGGTAAATGCGCCCTTTCGCATGTTCCGAAAAAAAATGAGCTGACAGAAGCAAACGAAACGTTCTTAATTGATCGGGAGGCTTTTAAATCGTAGCCAATGAGTCCCTTTTGGCTTTTTTAACCCGCGCTGTGCTAGTGATTTGACTTTTCCGTGTCGTGCT